TGAAAAGGTTAAAATAAAATTATCGCGTAGAAGTTGACAAAAAAGAAAATTTTCTCTTTTGCTACATATCCTCCCCCCCTTTGTTTTTACTTTTTTTGTCACTCCAGTTCAAATACATTGTCCAGCCCTGTATACTAATCGAGCTTTGTTACTTAATTCCTTTTTCAAAAGATCGATGAATCCCTTGCTGCCCTTCCGAGTGAAGTGAAGTGTGCATGATAATTTCATTCCTCCCCCATCCCATTTCCTTATTTCCTAACTTTCGGCTATTTTCTTCGAACTCCCGACGAGGAACTTGAACCTTTTTCGACGGTCCTAGAAGGTTCGAGTTATCGGGAGTCCGGTAGCAGCCCTCTTTCAATAAGCGCCCCTCCTTTTAGCCAGAATTTTAAATAAGCGCCTCACCTTTTATTCGAGGAAATATGGTACCGCTCTAGACTACAATGGCCACTAACGGTAAATATAAGATGAAAGATGAAAGAAGAAGAAAACCTTCTTTACAAGGGGGTCATGTGTAAAACTGGATTAATATCGCTATTGAATTATTTTAAAAAAAACATGAATCGTTACCGAAAGTGAGGGGTTTTTTTTAGTTTGCTTTAAAATTCGGTAAAGATGTCGATTGTCTGACCTCCAAAGGAAAGCTGGAGTGTACAGCTCACATCAGCTTCATATAACAAAGGCTTCTTTTATAAAATTCATTGCGGTTGCATCATTATTGCTTGACTAACTAAGCGTTAATCAGGTCAAGTTTCGTGGACTAGTTCAATCTTTGAAACAGTTCACTAGTACTGTACTCATAAAGAGGAGAAAGTTATAACATGAGCAGAGCGATTCTGCAATTTGTACAATTTAGACAGCTGTTTAGAAGATAGGTTCTTGGAACAGTTTCCTATGCATGCTACTTTAAGGTAATCGCCGCCCGGACTCCAAATTGGCACCCCGTTCTAAAAAAAATTCCCCTTAAATTGATACCCCGTTCTAGAAATGGGCTAATTTTTTATACCCCGTTCTAGAATTCGCCCTAAAACTGAAACCCCGTTCTAGAAATAGGCCAATTTTTTATATTCCGTTCTTGAAAGTTTGTAAATTGAATAGCCCTGTTTTTTTTAAAAAGATATTTCTTTATTTGTTCGACTTATACATAAAATAAATGCTTCTTCATAATCAGCAACAATTTTAAGCAGAAGATAAACCCGTGATCCACAATTTTTTATACCCCATTCTAGAAAACGCCTCTGAAATGGATACCTCGTTCTAAATCAGGAGCTTCAAAATCACGACCCCGTTGGGCGGCACATACCCGTATAGGTAATGTATGGGAGTTCCCCCCCCCCCCCGGGAGCTGCACCAATGAATTGTATGCGTTAAGCAGAATCTCTAAAGCTGAAGGAGAAAATACCTAATACGTTTGATCGCACTAATACCAGAACCAATCTTTTCAGATCTTTCTTCAGTAATATGACACTTCCAAGAAAGATTTTCATGGATGCGAACACCTAACGATTTTTATATAAGTCGAGACTTTTTTAATCGGGAGCTGATTAATTTTCAAGTGGGGTTCGGCGTTTTGAGAGCTGACAGTCTTTGACTAGACCCACTTAATAAAAATACTCTCTTAGTCACGTTTAGTGTATCACAACAACGTTACACACGGACAACAGGAACAATAACTCTATATATAAGCTGTGTGTTTGCAGAAGAGGACGGCAGTTGACGCAAGGCTGCACAATCAGCGGCGGTTCCTGATTCAATATGTCCAAATCTTTTTCATCAGGCATCTCAACCCTATCAGAACCAATCACTGTGCGCAGGTGTCTGCGATTTCTACGTACCACTCTGAAAGATGTCTGGATTACTTATGACCGGGAGTAGGGCTTCTCGCAATGACTTTCCTAGACACGTCTTCCATCCTTTCTGCCGATCTAACTTCATACGGACTGAGTCATCTGGCTGCCGTAGCTATAGGTCGGGAATGGGTCGCACTCCATGTCTCTCGTCAAAGTACTGACGGTACACACGGTATACACACATTCATAATTCAGCAATGCCGATCATCGTTCTACGTGAAAATTGACTTTGAAGGACATCAACACGACACCGAAAGAACCCAAATCAAAGTGGAGTTGGAGCCGTCGACAGCTGTGCTTTCATTCAGCTGTTTTCTCAGTATCGGAGACTGATTGCAGTCATGGTATGGCTTTTCACCCTTCTCATAATGCAAAATCATGGTTGTTTACCATTTGCATGGGCGAAACCGGTCGGTTCACTATTCAGAACTGGTAAATTTCGCCCAGGAATCGCGTTTACCATAGTGTACAAATCAGTTCCATTTATCGAAAAACGGCCGCGAAAACCTGAAACTGGTATCAACGATGGCTTTTCATGCAGTTCTGCTTGAACCATTCTGTCCGGAAAAACAGGAAAACCTTTTCAGATATTCCGTTGCTCTTGTTTCCGATAAAACGACCCAAAAAGTCGGGTCCATTTACTTGCCAACATGATAGTTTCCAGAAACTTTTTGCAATTGGTAAACAACTCATATCTCAGAAGTCGCAGTGGACGCCGACATGGCGAGGAGAAAATGAGCATTGTAGCTACAACTTTCTCAATTGTAAGGTCTTCAACTGTTTCATTTACTGTGTCGTCTTAGTCCGCAAATGCAAGGCAACCGGTTTCAGTGCGGAATGAAAATAGTTAACCAGAGTACGAAATTCTCGGCTCTTTTCAGTGCGCAACCACAAAAAAGAAAAAAACAAACAAACAAACATTCAAAGACCGCACAAAATTCCGAGTTTTTAACCAACAGGATTCTAACATGTCATCAAAGTAAACAAAGGGGATCCCTACGATGTACCTAACAAGATGGCTCAGCGACAGATTCAGTGTTTACCGGAAGCTCTCGCGCGCCCCAGCACGAAAACTATACCTGATAGAGCTTCTGCCTTTTTACACATACAAAAGGGCAGGAGCCCATAAAAGGGTGATTCGGCGGAACATTTCAGATGACGAGATGAAATTAACGAGACACGTTTGTATACGATTACTCAAATAAGAACAGAACCATCGATTAGCAGAATCCCCGGGGCAGAATCACGAATACCATATGCTTAAAATTTTAAAAGAAGAGTACCGTATAACGGGGGGGCTCATAAGTGGAAGTTTACGGTACCTTGGTTCACTGTATCGAAAGCCTTTTAAGGTCTTTATAGCCACGGTTGACGTTTGAAGACAGTTATCGGAGGCTTCGATCAAAGCCGAGTGTGTGCAGATAACCAGACGGATCTGACGACGGAGAAGTTTGTTGGTTGTTCCTTAGACGAAGACCCAAAAGACGAAGACTTAAGACAAATGAACTAAAACGAAGACCCGGTGTGCTAAAACGAAGACCCTCTAGACTAAAACTGGGTCTTCGTTTTAGTCCAAAGGATCCTCCTTTTAGTCCACAAGCCCGGGGGGGTGGTACTCCCTTATATAAGCTATAGAGATATGTGCCGCCCCAACGGGTAGGGACATTTTGCCCATTTTTAATTTGGTCTGGAATCGGGTAGTGTTTTCGAGGGAACTACGGGAGTGTATGAACGTATTTATCGTTTTAATTCCAAGACGAGTAAGAAAGAAAGAAAAATATGCGAATTCGAAATGGATTTGAAGAAATGTTTTGTTTGCGCTCTAATCTAAGTAATGATAACATAATTTCTGCCTTTAGATGTCTTGTCTGAAAACGGGTGTGGAAAATTACATTTTTGGTCTGAAATAGGGTCAGGATTTGGAGAACCAAGAATTCCCAGGAGTGCCCCCTCCCGGGTCCAATAGCTCTTCGTTTTAGTCCCTTTGGACAAAACGAAGACCCAGTGAACTAAACCACGGGGGGGGGGTACTGCCTTATATGGGCTACATAGGTATGTGCCGCTGTGAAGGGTATTGTTTTCAAGCAGTTTCCTCTGGGCAAGAGAGAATGAGCTAGATAATTCTCTCTTGCTCTGGGATAGGGTATATAAATCAGGGAGTTTGGGTCTACAATAGGGTATAATTTTCCAGGAAACTGATCAATTGGTTGAAGATTTTAGTCTAGACTAGGGAAACCGGGAACTGCCACTCAAAAATAAAAAAAAATCAAATCGGTGGGGGAACTAGCTCAGGTGTAGGCTAAGGGTTCCCGAGTCCCAGCGGCACATCCCCACCCAAAGATTCCTAAAGTATCTCGCCGGGACTAAAACGAAGACTTTGTCTCAAGCCGGCAGCTGGCTTTCACCAGCTGCTTTCATGCACGATCAGGTGCACATTGTCTTGGAACTGGCACATTGCTCTGTTTTTCAGTCAGCCAGTCACGCTTTACTAAAAATAATCAGTCACTTTAATGAAATCGTCAAAAGAAAACCCGGGGTGTTTTTTGACCCCATCCCGGGGCTAGCCTTCACAAGGGACGAGGGGGCACGAGGTTGTAGCCTGCATAACAGTCGTTTCCGGTGCTTTAATTTCGGCTAAGAGCACCTTTTTGCCTCGCGCGTCTTTCGTGCTTGCCCGCTTAGCCCACCCTGTTCACAGACCCTCTATTTTCTCTGTCCGTCAAGCGCGCGTGATAAAAAATAAACCGCGGAGGATTTATTGACCGCCAGTGCAAGGGGGTAGGAGAAGGGAGGGGTTATTTTTCTTTCTCGCGCTCCGCGCTCGCTATCGCTTGCTCGCCTCGCTCGCGCGTTTGTTTTTCGAAAGCTGTTTTCCGAAAGAACGACACTAAAAATAAAACAACGTCTAGGTACAGGCTACGCTTAGCCTAAACTGCTACGCTACGCAACGCTACGCAGGCTGCTCGGATAAGCTCCGATGAAGCTCCGATGTCATCTCGCACTTGGACTCAGACCTCTATCATTCTTTTTCACAGTTTTTTCGAAAATTTTAATTGGATACAAGAAATCAGCCAATCACGTACAGCGTAAGAAATTGTGTACGCCTGGTAGTTTCTGCTGGTGAAACTGCCATAATTTTTACCTAATTTTAATAACATGAGAAGGTGGTTTCTTTCCATTTTTGGAGCCAGAACTTTTAATGGAGCACGTTAATAATGACACGAATGAACAAGTAGAGGTAAGACGCTGTTTTTGTGCATGATGTATATGTTAAAGTCTAGGTTTCGGAACAGTCCGGAAAGTCTGCAGCCCTAGCCTTAGATACCGTCTCTACTGTCACATATATGAACATAATAACCCTCGGTTAAGTAGACCTGGCTTCATGAAATTTCCAGATCCACGCATTGTATAACGTGAAAATTCGTTAATCTTTCACAAAATGATCCTTTGTGAACTGAGTATAGAAACAGGAGTCATTGTTAACTTCGTGCGAAAATTTATTGCGATCATATCCTGAAAGAACCCGATCGTATTTTCTGTTAATTGGTCATGGATTAATTTTGAAAGCGAACATCTTTCTATTGAAACTTTACAGATGATCATATTATGGCTGTTAGCCTTTGTCTTGTCTTGAGAAAAGATTTCTTTCAAGGATTTAAATTTAAAATTCGAAATGCAATAGTTTCGTGTGGGATTTTCAATGGTATCGAGCCTGATCACTTGTTTACATTACAGCGTTTGTATTTGCATACGTCGAATTGTGACTTGCAAATATAACTTAGAAAAAATTGAACATTCTCATTATCATAGGTCACTGTTTTGTTCTTCGCGAAAAGCCGTGAGTTGGTGGAGAAGCCGTCAGCCCAAATATTTCTTCCTAAACTTCTAACTGGACGAGATCTGGTTGCTAATATAATCAATAGTTTTCCGAGGTAAGTTTTTAGCGATCGACCGTCAGCGTGAAATTAATCTCCTCGGTGACAATAGCAGGCCGCAAAATTATTAGGCGCTGTCAGTTTTAATCCTTTTTAAACAACTCTGTTCTCATCTAGCTTAAAAAGTAGAGTCGGTCTTTTTCATTGTGGTTAGCTTATTTTACATGACTTATTGATCTTTGAACAAAAAGTGACTTACGATCGATTAACCACGCTTTATTATCAACATGTTGTGAAGTCTTTCAGACATTCAAGATAGTGTCGTGATCGCAGTAAACCAAAACTACATTGAACAAGATTCAGAAATTGGCTTCCAAGGGGGTGAAGAAGTCGCTGTTATTCCGCCGATAAGTGGCGGCTGAAATGAGAGAGGACAGGTACTGATATAAATGACTTAATTTTGCAACCGCGGGCCGTATGAAAGTGTTTATGAAACTCTCAAATCAAGTAAAGGATATTGAACAGTAGAGTACCTTTATTCTGTATCTGTATTCTATATTCAAGTTAATTCTAGATATTTTCCCTCTTTTCCTTTCTTCCTTATTTAGATTTACTTTAAAAATGTTGAAAATTGTAAACTAAAGGAGGTTGTTTTTTTTTTTGGAATGTTGAAGATTAAGGGACTTGGGGTTTTCAACTTTTTTTGTAAAAATGCCTTTTAGCAATAACCACATTAAGAGTCTAGTCTCCTGGGTGATATACATTAAAGCCTTTGCATTCACAACCATTATCAACACACGTTCTGATTAGCAATAATTATCTTTGATTCTAAGACATACTGCCATTGTTCAATTTCTTTTTTGTGACATTTGGCCTGAGGCTGAGCACTAGTTTAGGGTGTTATCTTCTGCAGTACATTTGCTGCTCTACATATAGTGATCATATCAAAGCAATTAAATAGTAATGATATTTGACGCTTGTAAATGGATTTCCTGACCAGCAGTGCACTTGTTTTGAAGAAGGCTTTAGATTTTTATGCCAAACTTTTACAGCAAATGATATCTTATATATTGTGCAGCTAAGGCACATAATCACAGCTGAAGACAACACTGTCAACAAACAAGATTACTATTGTTTATCCTTCACAGCTATTGAATATAGCATTTGCAAACAGTACAGTATAGAAAAAATTAGTTCTATTTTCATTGCTTGGTTAAAATGGGTTTTGAAACAGAATAAATAATAATACGGCCTTTGTAAGACCATGCATCATTCACAAACTCTAATTTCTGTGAGCTGTGAAGACTTCTTTTCATTGTCTTTTAAATTTTTTGCTATTGCATCATTAAATATTAGCCCAGGGTTGGATTCAGAAATTTTCATCAAAACAGTCAGAGCCAATGTGCACACCATTGAAGTTAATTTTTATCCTTCCTAGCCATCAATAACAAATCGATATCATCTTCCCATGGTCAGTACTCTTATTGACTTCAGCAATAATGCCAAAATGTTCAAACTCAAGAGGAACAGCGAGTGGTTTCACTGCAAAGTTTTGAACATTTTGGCATCGTTTCTTTGGTTGATGAGAGTTCACACCATAGAAAATTGTCGATTTGTTTTTTTACAATAATATTGACAGTTTTGATGCCCAGTTCCATTGAGGTTTCTCAGAAAATTGCCCACAAAGAAAGAGGAAAACAAATTGCACCACCACCATGTCATTTCCATGGTCAGTACTCTCTTATTGAACAGTAGCTCTCAACTAATCAGCATACGAGAAATTGCTCAGTTATTGCAAAAATGTAACTTTCCAGGAAGCCTCAATTACGTAGATCCTTACAATTCCTCCAGTAGAAACAATTTCATTGTCACAGCAATTTCATAAACAAATTCTTTGCTCTCATGCATGCATTTAGGAGGTTTGGAACCCCTGTACCCTCCCTCTTGATGGCCACTGTAGCAGTGTATATTTAACAATTATTCCTTGAGCCCGAATGGGCTCTGAGTCAATAGCCCATGAGGCTATATTGAGAGAGCTAAACTTTAATCCTTTTTTGTCGCCAAAAAGGCAGCGCCTTTTGCTATTAGTGTGCTATAATATATAGCCTAGTAGTAGCTCAACCAATCAGAACGCAGCATTGATAATAGACTACTAGCTGGATTCTACTAAACAGCTTTAATACATGTGCTTTTTATTTTGATTGTTTTGTCAAATTGTCACACTGAGAGTATGTATGTATAATCATGGGTATGTACCGAGTTGTTTTTGAATAGGTAACAAAAGTGTAAATCAGCGTAAGTCAGTGTGTCAAAATCATGGACATGTACATGTAGCATGTTATTGATTTTTTTGGTCATTATTTCATGTTGGTTGACTGAAATTTTGAGTAAAATTATGATGTAAACCACCATCGGTGCTTATAAACCCACCTTGAAGGCTGCAGATATTTTTGTGATAAGAAATAGCAAGGCAGTATAACAGCAGCACCTCTGTCTTTCCCTGACTCTGCAGCTGCTTTCCCCCCTCCCCCATAAACTAACTGACTGATGTTTGTATCTGTCCTTGAATCAGTTACCAATGATCTGTGCAATAAAAACTTTGAATTCTTAAGAATTATTGTTTACACCACTCCTCCCTGGGAAAAAAATCACCCTTAACAGTTCCGAAAATTGTACATTTCAGTTTTAGTACATAGCAGCCAATGCTTTCTCTAAGGATTACTGAAAAAGTAGTTCTAGCCATGATAAGAACAAGCACAATAAAATATATATTATATAAGGGAAAGTAATGGGAAGTTAAAGTGCCAAGATTTGGCAAGGGAAAAGGAATGATCTTAATGCGTCATGAATGCAAAAAGCAATTAAAAAGCAAAGAACTCTTGGTGAGAATTATTCACTTTTTAAATTGTATACAATGTATAATGCAACAGCATTAAGGAGTTAAGTGAAATATGCTGTTTATGCTAAAATGTGTTTGCAGTAATAATGGTAGTAATACTAATGATGATGATTATGATGATAATTATTTATTATAATGGTAAACCCTTTGAGATAAGACCTCTGTCACTAAAAATGGTTTTCAACAGGGGTCATTAAAAATACTGTAAAATTAGATGAAATAAAATTGTTAGTAAAAGAATATCATTAAAAAAGTCACAAAATTGTTCCTGCAATAAAAGTATCAAGTGAGGCATGGGATTGTTCAATTCAAATGAAAGGAAAGTCCAATATCTAGCACATGAATATATCCCTTATTCTGGGAATTATACAGGATTGGAATTTATACATTTGTTACATTTTTTCTTTCAATTGAGATGCAGAGAAAAATACTAAACAATCATTATATATTTTTTTAAGGTTTTCATATTGTGGTCAATTTATTTTGACTGATCGGTGATTTTATTTTTTATTTTAATGGTTGCACCCTACCAATAAACAGAAAATATTTGTGGCAGTGGTTCACATAGTTACAAAATATTTCATGATATGTAGAATGTTTCTAAAATGGGTTTAAAGTAAATAGTCAGACAGGCACATGCAGAAGTTTCAGCTGTGTTATTTTTGTGATATTGTACACTTGTCAAACCAATGCATACTTGCTGGATTCTTTTCATGAAAATTAATGACTTTTTGTCACATTGTTCAGTCTTTCAAGCTTTTTAATTAAAATTTTGCTTTGTTAGGATAAAGAAATTTAATGACAGATAATGAAATATTACTCATGTCCCACTGCTGGACTAAAAGCTGCCTAAAGTGGCATAATATTGCTTCTCAGTATTCAATTTTTTTCATGTGCCTTTGATATTTTGCGATTATTTTTGTTTTTGTAACAACCTATATTGTCAAATTGAATTAATTTTGTCATTAACACTTCTTGAGGGGTAAAAATGTCACTCTCATTGCAGCTATAGAAACTGTAAGGATATATTTTAAAGTTCAAAACAGATTTGCAGATTTAATGTAATTCAAATGAAGCTCCAAGGGGTGTTTATTATTTTGTTATAGGTGTACATGTTTAAGTTTGACTTGCAAGCGTTTGACTTGTTTGAACAAGTATATGTAATGATGTCTCAACTTTCATGGTAATTTTTATAAGGTCTTCAAATTTGCATGATGCCAGTAACGAAAGAAGTCAATAGTGGATATTATCAATGTAGATATTTTCCTTCATAAATCATCTTAAAAACTTTAGTGTGATATTTTACTGCAACTGCTACAAACTATTTGTTTTCAAAGTTACCTTCAGATTAGTTTTCAGAAGAAAATAATTACTTACTAAAACTACACATGTATACATAAAGAGTTGGGGCTGATGGTATTGTCAAGTTTTCTTTGGAATATATTTGCAAGCAAAGACAATGAGGTAAGGATAAGACCTATACAGCTGGTTTGTGAAAAATGTGGATTAAAAAGAATCTCACTAGCATCTTACCATGGAACCAGCACAAATTATTTTAAATTAATTATGTGCTGCTCTACCAAAGTTTCTTTGAAAATGGAAAAATTTTTACGCTAATCTGATTTCATCTTATAGGCAGAAGTTGCAATAATTATTTGTTTTGTTTTGTTTTTTTGTCTGTTAATAATATTTATAGTTATAACTTTTACGGTGGCAAAAAAAGGCACTGTCAACTGCATTATTTTGAAGGTGTCCATAATTGACATCTGCTTATGGTATGAAAAAACGTTATCATAATGATTTTCATTGATGTTTAATTCCTTGAGTCTTAACTATTTTCTTGGGAGTAAAGTGTATGGAATAAAAAGTGAATTTACTACCATGGACTTGTCCCTGGGTATCTGCATATTTTATAACTAGGTTTATTGTTGTCCTTTTTTCAATAGAGTGATTTTACTTGACTTGTGAAACAGAGAATAACTTAAGTGCACAAGTAAACAAAAGAAGGTAATGGAATAAGTGCATAACATTTTACTACCTATTTCACGGGTAAAGTAAAATCACTCTATAGGAACACTAAATCATCCCACCAAAAATTGTCTTTAGTTAGTAGTTTGTTAATTGATGTTGAGTAAATACTGCAGTGCCTTGTGATTTTTTAAATCTGCAACTCAACAGAATACAGTCATTTAGTCTCAGTGGCTAAGAAAGTACTGATAACAATAAAATTATAATAAATTCATGCAGTTATTACATCCCGCATTTATTTTCTAGTAAAACCAAGACATCCAGTTTACACATGGCAGATGACACCATTGTCATAACTCCAGATCATCTTCATGTTGATCAAGTCACAGAGATTGTAGGTTCACCAAGTGCAGGAGCAATCTCTATGTTTGTAGGTAACTAAAACCATTCACCTTTTATTTGTTTCTTTAATAGCATTTGATTTTAGGCTTCTGATTTAGACCTGGAGTGAAAAATGCTAAGTTCAAGACTAGCCATGTTCAAACCTCACATATGCAACCATCCAAAATGCCTAGATGGTGGTGTTTATTGCCTATTAGAGGGTACAATATGATGAGTTCCAGTGGGATATATAACTAAGCCAGATTTTGATAGTTACTGGTAGATAGCTGGTGGTTGCTTTCGCAGGTTTTAGCTGTAGGAGCAGGGTGTAAAGAAAGTCAGTTTTACACCTTGCCCTTCTGCCATTTTTTCCATAGCTAACAGATGCTTCTGGCATATTTCTAAATACACTATTAAAATACCCTTCTGGCATATTTCTATACTAGCCCAAGAGTCATTTTAACTAGTCCCCCCCCTGTCCCCGCCACCCCCCAAAAAACAAAACTTGATGGGCAGGATTGACTAGCTTGAGGTGCATTATAATATGCCCAGACTATCACATCACTGAGTTGAGTTTGACGGTTAGTTAACTTGTAAGTCTTTTTGTTTAAGGTACAACCAGAGATAATTTTGAAGGTAGGAAATTTTCATTTCATTTCATTTGTTACTGGTTAATGCAAAGTTAAAATTAATTAATTTATTTCATTTTCTCAATACCCACAAATAGCAAAAGGTAGTCTAGGTGGACAGTGTCGATATATAAGCAAAATTATATGAACTCCAAATTATATTAAATTCACAAGAAAACAAAAAATTGTACACATGAAAAAAATATGAAAATGAAAAGGAGAAGATAAATTATTCAATTACTGCATAGAATCATTGAATGCTGATATTTTGCTGACATTTGTTTGTAGGAGAAAAGGCAAATATTAATTAACAAAGTGGCCCCAGTTATACAAAAGGTGGATAGGGCTTATAACCACTGGACAAATCTCTATCCACTGAATAACACAATTGGATTGCCTAACACTTATCCTCTTGATAGTGATTTATTTGGCGGATAGTGCTATCCAATACAACATATCCAAACAACCAGGGCCCAATAAATGATTTTTCATTTTTCCCTAGGAAAGACGGTAGTACGTTTGGAATATGAGGCATACATGCCCATGGCTAGATCAGAGATGCGCAAGATTTGTAAGCAAGTGCGAGAGAAATGGGATGTGATAAAAATAGCCATATTTCACAGAATTGGGTATGACAAGAGACTGCTTTAGTGCATTCCATTATGCTTAATTTATGATTTTGTATAGGGTAACTAAACTGATGGTCAAAAGTTCAAAACTAAGATTCAAGCCCCATGTAACTGCTGTGGTTTGCTCATAAATCAAAAGGAGAATTTTTTTTTTTTAGATCACCAGGCGTTACTTGGAGCTTTAAATGCCAAACAGTTATTGAAATGACTGTCTTGTTTGGCCAGGACTCATTGCCTTCCCTCTCTATGTTGTGCTAAGAAAGCTATTTGTTTAGTGTTGAGAAATAACTGTAACATTTTAATTTGCAGAGTGGTGCCAATAGGAGAAGCCAGTGTAATTATTGCTGTATCATCAGCCCACAGGAAAAATTCTCTGGAAGCCGTTCAGTACTGTATAGATACTTTAAAGGCCACAGTGCCCATTTGGAAAAAGGTAGTATTTTTTTATTTTAAAAGCGCAGTAATCATTTCCTGTGCTGGTCAAAATTCTAGGATGTACCAGTTAGGGCACTTGTCCATTTTACATTTATAATGCACTGACAGAGGAAGACCTAATTCCATAGTTAAATTATTTTTTTAGGAAGTATACGAACAAGGTGAACCCAAGTGGAAGGAAAATTCTGAATGTTACTGGAAAAACAAAGGTGGATCCCTCAAACAGTCAACTGTTTAGTTAAGCTGACAAAGACTTCAAGGCTGGCTAATTTAAAGCATTTATAATCAGACAGTGTTGTGTGATCACTTTAACAAAGTATCTGGGCCCAGTTGTTCGAACGCCGGTTAGCACTAATCCGGGGTTACATTTTAACCCGGGTTTCTTTATCTTTTTATCAAAAGCACCCTCTTGGATAATTTTCTTTTTTCTTTTTAGAGTATCCATTATCATCAAATTGTAGGCAAAGAGAATTGAATTGAAATGAATTTGCTTTTTAAGCCCTCATATCTCTGTTCAAATTTCGCACTAACTGTGGGTTATCTTAACCCAGCTTCGAAAAACCCGGCCCAGATGTTTAGTTGATGTCCACCTCTGAGTTATGCAGGCATATTTACATTACATGTATTGTGAAAAATGTTGAAGTTTAGACACAATGTTCAAAACGTTTGATGTTTTGGACAGGGGCTACAGATTGTTGTTATTTCATAAGGAGTCTCAGTCTTAAGATATAAAAATGGGTTGGTGATACCCAGCTTTTAGCCACGCCTGAAGACAAGTTCTGTACTGTATTCTTCATTTTTTGCTACCATTGTTTTTAATACAGAAAAAACACTAATATTATTAGTGTTTTTTTAAAATATCATTTCCTTGTTATTCCAATAATTCTAATTATTGTTTGAAACTTAAGGAAAATGTGTGTTAATCACTTACAGGAAAGAAAATGGTGCATACTTAATGAGAGAAGATAAAGTAAAAGCTTATCTTAGGGTGATTAAGCCAGAGTGGATATTATTATACTCTAACACAATTAGAGAAAAATAAATTTTATAAGAACAGTTATATAAAATAATATATTTAAGAGACTTTTTCAGTCTTAAAACTACATTTATTTCAAACCTTTACTGTAAATCCTCCATAGAGAGGAGAAGTGTGACGTCATGTTACCATGGTAGTACTATTTCTGGATTGCAACAAAACCAATGACGACGGCAACAGCAAGGAGATTGGCAATAAATAATATGTTTATAGTAACAAACAACAACTTTGCACGTGCATCACACTATTTTGTACGTTTCTTTGCTGTCGTTGCACCACTACGACATGAAACTTCCTAATTTCACAAGCTCGCTTTATGGAGTAGGTGAACGCAACACAAAAACTGTCGCTTTCATTTTTTAAACTTAGATTATGATAGATACGATCCCAAAGAAAATTTCACCAAGATTTTCCAAATTCAATGAAATTGAATAAGATCGGTGAAGTTTGAAATAGTGCAAATAGACTTTTAAGTGACTTTTTCGGTTTGTTGTCATCCAAAAATTTTGCTTCCATGGCAACACGACGTAACGACGTCTCCTCCCTATTAAGGCCCCCCGGGGGCCTATTTATTTCAAGCCCATTTGAGGGGGGGGGCTTAATAGAGATGGGGGGTTATATAATTTAGGAAAGACGATGGTACCAGTTCTCCATAAAGAATTTATAGAATACAAAGTGGAAAAGCTTGAGAACAAGAAGGTTGGAGGTCATGCAGGTGAGGATCAGAATCAAATCCGAACTTCCAGCTGGTAAATAAACCATCCCGGATCAGTGCTCACAAAGTTTTACAAAGTCAGAATCTGACCAAAAAGAACCATCAGCAGAAATTTAAAATTGCTCCTCCAAAGAAGTAACAAAGAGAACTAGTTGATAAAGACATCTTTAAATGTGGTATCTGCTGTGGGTTATGGATGTCACAGGGCCACCAAGTACCAGAAACCTGCATCTTTTTTTAAGTGACCATGTGCATTCTCTACATGCATGCATGGGTATAAATAATTAAACTAATGCATTAATTTTACTGTTTTAGTAGTGTGAATAATGAACACTCTCTCTCTGACTTAGAATAATAAACAAATGGAAATAAGCCAATTTTCTGGGTTTTTTTTCCTGCTGTGTTTATTTTTCTATTTCCGGGCTGTAAGGTAGTATCACGTTGGTTTGGATTTTTGGTGAGTAAAGCGGTGTAGACGTGAAAGTTACTTAATCTTTATCTTTTTTGTCACCAGTTACCAAGCTCAGCATATCAACAGTTTGATATCCACCCACCCCCCGCCAGAATGTTATGGTCCACATCGTTGTAACTTATTTCTTAAAAATTATGATTATTTTAGTCAACTATTCTGATAAGGGAGTCGCGAAGAACGAATTCTCGCAAAAATTATATTGATGCGAATTTTAATAATCAGAGACTCTCTTCTATGTTATACAGATTGTTTAAAAACTGACAGTTATTGTCTCCAGCATTTGAGTCCACCAAATGTTCTGAGTTATTTTCTGTGATGATGCTTTTATTATCACTGCAGAAATATGGCTTCAGCCCCATTTCAAGAAAACCCATTAGTAGTCATTCGCGAAGTTTCATTGCCGCGAAATAGTAACAATAAGGAACTACAAATGATGCTTTGTGTCCGTAGATTTTCTACATTCTTTAATACTAGACTTCTAATGTGAAGCAATGTACTGAGACAGAATGAAAATTGTTTCATCCACTTGTAACTCACTCTGTTCCAACCTGAAAGAATACAAAAAGAAAAAACAAACCAAAAATTATTTGTGGACATGAAAAAAGTGAATCTATGGTGGTGCCAAATGTGCCAGTGGGTGAGTTAACACTAAAATGCAGTTTTATCAACTGAGTTGAAGTTTGCCACTGTAGTAGATTCAAAAAATGGCCTTTCAAACGCTAAGGGTGCTCTTTTTAGCAGATGTTCATGTGACTGCATCCCTTTTGAGTCGAATAATTTACGATTGACGTCAATCATACATTAACAGCAAACGTCGTCCAAACAGGGGCAGCCATTGACTTCTTTCGAAGGAGCAAATATTGCCTAGAAGCTCGAGAAAGGCTAAACCGTTCCACTCGCATTAAGATTTCGGAGTTTTTGTATAAAATTACTTACGATTTTCGGAAGTTGTGTTAATTACAAAGATATTGCAATCAATGTTAAAAAAAGGTCAAGCCTAAAATTTAGGTACAAAGACAAAGCATCCCCCCCTAGAATCCTTTAATGAAAGTATGGCTAATCCACGTGCTCGAATTTTCGCCTGGACCCACCAGGCTACCAGACAGTTTCGGATAAGACTAAAAAGTCCCCCAAAACTTTCGAGACGACCACAGTTCCCCTTAGGCATCTGAAAAGATACATAGTTTATAAGGCAAGTTCAAATTTACCAAACAGACTTCAGAACACATTTCTGACGTATTTAGAAACAATCGGTCGTTTGGTACCCCTGGTCCAACGTTGATCCACGCTTGTTGTTCATTGCTACTAATAACACTGTTCTGGTATTCAGACTTGGTTTTCTTCCCCTTTTTAATCTGGAGTGACTCAATTTTGGTGACGTAATAAATGTTCTAACTTTTGACAATGCAATACGCAAACTCTTGATAATCAAGCAAGAATCTGATTAGATTCAATGATTTAGCTATATTTCGCTACTTCCTACTATTTTGGTGTCTTTGTCAAGAGGGGCGTCTATTGGACGGGGCGTTTATTAGAGAGAGGAGTCTAACACAAACTCATAAGCGCATGGGGAAGTATTAGAGAAGGGGCGTTTATTTGAGAGAGGGCGTCTAATACAAACTTATAAGCGCAGGGGGGAGTATTAGAGAAGGGGCGTTTATTTGAGAGAGGGCGTCTAATACAAACTTATAAACGCAGGGGGGGAGTATTAGAGAAGGGGCGTTTACTTGAGAGAGGGCGTCTAATACAAACTTATAGGCGCAGGGGGGGAGTATTAGAGAAGGGGCGTTTACTTGAGAGAGGGCGTCTAATACAAACTTATAAGCGCAGGGGGGGAGTATTAGAGAAGGGGCGTTTACTTGAGAGAGGGCGTCTAATACAAACTTATAAGCGCAGGGGGGGAGTATTAGAGAAGGGGCGTTTACTTGAGAGAGGGCGTCTAATACAAACTTATAAGCGCAGGTGGGGAGTATTAGAGAAGGGGCGTTTACTTGAGAGAGGGCGTCTAATACAAACTTATAGGCGCAGGGGGGGAGTATTAGAGAAGGGGCGTTTACTTGAGAGAGGGCGTCTAATACAAACTTATAGGTGCAGGGGGAAGTATTAGAGAAGGGGCGTTTATTTGAGAGAAGGCGTCTAATACAAACTTACAAGCGCATGGGGAAGTATTAGAGAAGGGGCGTTTACTTGAGAGAGGGCGTCTAGCACAAACTCATAAGCGCAGGGGGAAGTATTAGAGAAGGGGCGTTTACTTGAGAGAGGTCGTCTAATACAAACTTATAGGCGCAGGGGGAAGTATTAGAGAAGGGGCGTTTATTTGAGAGAGGGCGTCTAAGAGATTGTTTACGGTAAAAAACAAGTGGCTGAGGTTACTTTATGTTTAGTTTCAAATTCTGTTGTTTTGGCTTGCTTTTATTTTGATTTGGTGTTCTAGGTGATGATAAAAAGACTAATTACTTGGGACGAGAATTCACATGCTAAAGTGAGAACAAAATAGGTTCCAGTCAACTTATTTTGTGAACTATTGTAGCGTCAGTTTACTGAGTCAGATCTGTGTTTAAATTCAAACATTTTGTTCCGAAAACGTTGAAGGAAGAATATCACGAAATTTGGAGAAACCCAAAAATGTATTTGAAGCAACGTAAGATTACAAAAATATTCCGGTTTTCATAATAGGTGAGGAAAAAGAGTGAAACTGGCCAAAAAAAAAAAACTTTTTTTAAATCATCGTGTGGCTTTCGCTCCAAGAATTCATTCCACGTTGTATTAAAGAGCCTTATGTACAAAGAAGAAAAAAGGTACTTGCTCATCGACAAGAGTTTCCCTCATACCGGCTGCCCCTTACATACTTACTTGGCGAGGTTAAGTTTAAGTTTTTTAAGTTGTTCCCTTTCAGCAGGTAGAATGAGTTCCTGTAGTTCAGCTATCGCCTCGGCTGATGTCTCTTCACCATGTTGGGCCTTCAGAGAATTTATTGTGGCTTCTAGTCTTTCCTCTTTTTCCACCAAACGCCTTCAATCACCGAAAAAAAAAACCTGATAATCAATCAATCCTTCTTTATTTCGTAACGCTCACATCTTTATAAGGACAGATCGAAGAAATGGTTAACCCCCTTACTGTTGAATCAATTGAATTTCTACTCCCGTAAATAGTGTTTCTTTTCAAATAAATCAAACATGATACCTATGTTCTTGAACTTCAGTTTGGCGCCTACTCATCAGATTTCCAAGCGCCTGCCAACAGAAAGAAGGCTCAATCTTAGCATAAGCCCTGCGTCCACGCAATCAGTTAGCTAATCAAGAAGCATTAATTTAATCAACAGGCACGATTACTCGTAACTGTGCAAAAGTAGTAACGCTGTAGCTGAGTACGCTTGGGGACAGACCATTATTTTTCTGGAGGGGGCCGGGGGGGGGGGAGAAATTATGTTCTGCAAAGATTTTTTTAAAAAACATATATCTCCGCAAACATTTTTTTCCATCGTCATCTTCTTGCAAGCAGTTTTTTTCCATATTTTTGTTCAGTGTTCTCTTTCTTTGTGCTAAAATAATAGTGCTATAGCCACTTTGTATTGTCGATATACGCTCCACTCGCCTTTTTAAATTTTTATCAGCTACTGTCGCAAATAAAGGGCAACCGATAGGAAATAGCCAAAGGGAGTAGCGGGCTTTTTCGCGATTCCACAGCACCGAAGTCCTGATCTTCTTTGATGATGTTCCCACAGGCCATCATACTCGTATCACCCGGCCCGTGGAACCCGGGGTGAAGGCAGGCACATTGCTGATTTAAAATGATTGCCATTGCCATAGGTCACACCAAATAACTTATAAGTAGTAAGTGACCCATTTAAAGCTTTGATGGTGATATCATCAAGAAGGTGACAGACTTCTGAAATACCCCCATTTCTCGAAAGAATGTTAACATTAAATGGCAACGCAAGTGGCATTCCTTCGATGAAAACCCATTAAAATTCTGACCTTAAGCCGTCACGTATTAGCCAACATACGTTATGTAGCATTATTTTATGTCGTTCATGTAATTCATTGACTGCTGAAAAATGTAAGTAGTATTATGATAAATGTCGCAAAGTTTGAAGAATATGATTTGTTTAATCCAGTTTTGAGAAAAACACCTGGTGTATGAAGTTTTGTAGTAGGACAAAATGTTGACAAGTACGGATGAGATTTAATTGCCACAATAATTCCCATTGTTTTAAAAGAAAGAATCAGCTATTTTCAGATTTGTTATACAAAGTGACCATGCGCGAGCGTAGCCCCATACCTAAGAAAATGTGGTAATCTTCCCATCCGAGAAAGTTTGGTAATCACGTGACTGTAAGTCCGCCCGTCCGTCCGCACCACAGGCATGCCAATGTAAAATAAATCAATAAACAGGTATGGCAACCTAAATGCAACTCGACGTTATTTTGGTAGGAAATCGCATAGCCACCCGCGTCTTGTAAAGCAGAGACAACTAGAGAGTCAATAAAGACGAAAACGGAAAGCGGAAATTGAAAATAGAAAAAGATAAAGACAGAGAAAAAGAGAAAGTAGGCGACAGGCCAGCGAAGCTCAACGAGAAAAAGAGCGACAGAGAACTAGAACGAGAGATTAAAAATACAGGAGATATTTCTTGTTGGAAGAACAACACGAAAATATTATAGCGGTGGTGAGAAAATGAGAAATGCTAGTAACCACCAAGGTGAAAATGAACGGCAGTTGAAAAATAAGTGAACAAGAACACGTACGACATTTCCTCCATAAAACGTGTAACTAGAAAGTTTCTAGAAGTTTCACGTTGTAGTCGTGCAAAACAACGGCAAAGAAATGTTGAAAAAGAGTGTGCTGCACGTGCAAAGTTGTTTTTGGCTAATTAGACTGATTGTTGTTTTTTCACCGTTCTCGTTGCCTTCGCTGCTTAAAGTGATGTTACACGAGACGATTTGCAACAACGATTTTTAGCGCAACACAGCGTTGCAACATTGTTACGACATTGTTTGGAATAGTTACAACATTGTTCCAACACTGCAACGCTGTGTTGTGTTAAAAATCGTCGTCGCGAATCGTAACGTGTAACATCACCTTTAGCATTACACAATTTTATATTTTGTTTGAGCAAACTATAATTATTACCGAGAGCTTCGCTTTTAGCCCATTAACCATTTGATAATGGTTACATTTCGTCGACGAAATGTCATGTTTTTATCCCACTACTTCTTGTGCTTAAACGTTTTACAAAATCTTTTATTATCAGAAGACTAAAAAGACTGAAAAAACGTTACAAAGACGAGACTTGCAAAGCACCACGAAAATTTCCAAATAGAATCTGATGACCATTCTAAGCCTTAGTGTGTGATTCTGAGGTGTGAGTGTAACAAGAATATAACAACGGATGTTGAAAGCGATAAGTTTTATCAGTTGCCGCCTACAAAGGAGAATATTTACTGAGAGACATGTCCAACTGAACAATCTCCATGAACAACAAGATCCTTGGTACAACAGGGTCTTGGTTTCATTACCTCATCTTTTACATTAATTGGCATGGTTCTTTTGTTCATTGTTGCCGGCTAACCCTTCCTTGTTACCTGATATGACTTTTCAATCAGCATTCTGCTCAGCTGTTGAAGATCCACAGAAAACAAATAAAATGTTCTGGATGGAGCATAATCAGAGGCTCGTGGAATTTCCTGTTGGCAAAAAGCAAGTGTAAAATTAAAAGGTACAATATGGTTGGCAGTTGTTAGATGTAGTTGGTGCTCCTGTTCACACAGTTCTGACAAGTCCCAACAACAGTAGCCTGCGAGCAAGCTCTCTTTGGGAGGGGAGCTCTGAGGGCGCGCGAGGGCAGGCAAGTTGCTCACAACCTGCAGCAAAAGCGACCTATATAAATGTAATGACGATAACTTTACTAGCTCAGCGCGGGTGCTTCGCTAATCAAGGAGATTAATAAACAGCGACCTTTTCTTTTAGACTAAGAGTCAGAAATTGAATCTATGCACAACCATAGAACTTCTAGCCAGTTATGTTTTGCGAACTCTCAATCTTTCGCCAAAAGAGCACAGACAGTGATTTTCCGAGGCACACATATTTAGCTTGAAGGTCACACCATAACCCAATCTTTTTATTGTTTTCGTTGTCCAATCTCAAGGTCCTCTATGCAAGAAATACGCTGGCAGAGCAATTAATTTGCGACGAAGATGAAAAATCCCCACGGATACTTCAATGTGGTGAACATGCGCGATCCAATATTGTTGGAGATACTATTTATGGACTCAGTTGCCTCAAAAAGCACAATACAAAAGATACCCCAAGTAGTCAAACTTCACTGAAGAGCCCCCAACAGCACCCTTGCAACTGGGAGTTGTTTGTTAACAACACTGAATCAAAACAAAGCTTAAAAAACGCATAAATGCTGGTAAAATTTCAAATGGTACCTGCAGCGAAATGAATCTCTCGGCAAATAACTTGTACAACAGCTCTTTGGCATCTTTAGATGGAATCATTGCTAGCTCACCTAACTAGAGTTGAAAACAGATAAGAAATAAGAAAACTTTTAATAAGAATGTGTTCAACCTTTTTACTGGTCACAAGAAAATGTTTATCCAGTGGTAGGACTGAGTTAGTGCTCTTCTTGCTTGGTTACGCGGGATTGATATTCTTTAGGCATCTTCCCGAGAAAGTTTAGGAAATGAAGATTTACTTACATCAGTCTGCTCTGACATTTGTAAATTTTACAGCTGAGAAATAAAAATCTTCTTGACTGATCTATAGTCTCATGAGCTTTTAAGATATATGTATCATTAGTGTAGGCCTTCCACTGTTCTGAATCAAATCTTTTCCAAATTCACTATTTTTAGAACTTACTTGTTTCTGTTCCATGTGCTTCTTAAGTAACAGCAGTCTGAAGATCCTAAAACATCTGGATCCAAATCTATAATCAACACAAAGGACATTTTCAAAGTCTCTGCATTTGATTAACCCGGATCTGCTTAGGATAATGACCAATGTCAGGTTAATTACTCAAAAACTAAAATAATGTTTCTCTTCCCTTTTCAATGACACTACAAGAAAGAAAATGAAATGACAAACACTATTTCTCGTACCTTTCCTGAACAATGGATTCCACCACATTTTGACAAAGTGTATCAACACACTTCTGCATATCTTTAGCACTCGTTAAGGAAACATATATAATATTCGATATTTCCAAGACTCGTCCAGGATTGCAAGTTAATGAGATTCATTCTCCTTGTGACAGACAACACAAAGTGTCCTCTAGCCCTAATCCTCACCTAAACGAAAGGAATCACTTCTTTTTACATGAGGTCACATGGAAATTAGAAATGATTGTGTCTAATATGAAGTACCTACGTTCCAAGTTTTCTTGCTTTTATGGACATAAGTGCAGAAAGTAATACTGCAACTGAATTCCCAAGGAAGTGTTATGTGAGCATACAAGTGTCAAAAATCAGTACTATGACTGCCTTGTGTGAACAAATTACTTCAGGTCTGTTAGCATAGTTCTTGCAATTGGAGGCTTTTTAATTGCTATTCTTTACTACGAACCAACAATGTTTCTAGAAAAACAATCTGTTCCAGGTTATCAGAGAGCAGGAAGCCTTTTTGGCAAAGCAAGAATGTCTACCATTCCACCCAGTCAAACTCATGATTTTTACACCAGACCTTAAATAGATTTAAAATGTGTATGCATTTTAGAGGCCACGGCTTAAAATTGGTGCGTTATGAAATTGTAATATGACATTTTTTGGTCTGAAATCGGGTCAGGATTTGGAGAACCGGGCGCCACACCCCCACCAAGTACAGTTCCTAGGATTACTCCCACTCCCCGAGTATGCGACTGGCCCTCGATGTGCTGCTGTTTATAACAAAAGGATACTGATGCAGTACATGCCTCCTCCACTCTCTCCAGTTTTTGAAACCAAATTATCCTGGTAAAAAAATAATAATAATAAAATATGACTGCAGGATTTATGGCACTTCAAGTATCAAATGATTGCATGACTGAGTAAGACATTTAAGTGTAGATTTGATATGATATACCTCATAATAACACAGTACCCTTTTCCTTGCAATCCTCATACCATTCTTCTACCTTCTCCAACATTAGGGACCTTATTATCCAATGACGCGACGGCGACGAGAAGGTCGCCCAAAAGAAGAATTTGCGTTCTTTCAGTCTATATCGCAATATTGTTCCTTCCCATTTACTTGGTAAACTGTAGGCGACCCTCCTGAAGTTGAATATCAAGGGACCTTATACATGATCAGAAAGATAAATAAAATTTTCCCGTTGCTTGTTTACGTTCTCCATAAAATGCGAAATTAGGCATTTTCACGTCGTAGTCGTGCAAAAACGGCAAAGAAATCTACAAAAAGCGTGATGCACGTGCAAAGTTGTCGTTTTGCAAATAAAAGATAACAGCTCTGTACGTGCATCACGCTTTTTTGTACATTTCTTTGCCGTCAATGCACGACTACGACATGAAAATGCCTAATTTCACGTTTAATGGAGGACGTGAACACAAGACTCCGACTTTCTCTTTTTTTCTCTGAATTTCGATACAGTCTTTTAGGAGTCAGCTCCAGAAAAAATTGCCAATATTTGACGAATTGGACGAGATGGAATAAGCGCGTCTTCGTGGCCGTCGCCGTCGCCGTCACCGTCGTTGCCGTTGCTTGAGCTCCCTATTACTGATTCTTTTTATGTGCTCTTAAGCCTTACGTGTGCAGTAGTGTGTTATGTAAAAAGTTTCATCCACTATTGAAGCTAGGTGTTAATTCATGTGTTAAGGCGAGGTTCAAATTTCTGTAGTTGAAATTAATCAACGCTAATTACTGCTTTATCTTCAATTACTTTGTTCAGAGGAGGTAGTTCACTAAGAAATCAAGAAAAAGCTGGAACACTACAGAAAAATACCTTCTCATCTGTAAGCAAGGAAAGGTACTGAGTAATCTGGGTCTTCTCCATTTTTGGGGTGATTGACAAGTTTTGTGAAATCTGTCAATAAAATAAAATATTGTCAACATAAAATGAACTAGCATGGAATGAAAGGCGGTGACATCTAAGTGACTCACGAAATTAGCCTTGAGTTGACCCAAAAAGCTCATGCCTGTTCCGGTAACACGTAGCGAATGGAAGCACCCTACCACCCAGGGGTGGAAGTGTCATTCCCTTACAAGATAATAGTCCTGTCAGTTTCATAACCACAGAAACAAGCTAACAAGAAACTTAGCGACCGAAAAGAAGGTTATCATCTCCTTCCTGCATCTATTTTTCCTACAAGTAATGCTTGCACACCAAATGCAGATAGAACCACACTCACAAATTAAAACAGAAAGCAAAATAACAACAGATTTTCAAGATCAACCTGCCAATTTCGTCAACAATGGAGGCACAGTGGTCTGGCAGTTGACACATCAAATATTTTGACTATGTTCAAGCCTTGTAAATACATTGTTCAACATGTCGCAACGACATGTTGCAGCGACAAATTTCTTCGTGTGTACTGGAGAATTGTGTGAAAATCTTTGTCTCTGCAACGGAATTTTGTTGCAGCAACATGTTGCTGCAACAAGTTGCCAGACCTGTACACACGAAGCGCTCTGTCACCCCAACTTGTTGCTGCAACTTGTCCCGGCCTTTAATTTAGGCTAAAAATTTTGCTGTAATTTTGCCCTTTCCATCCCTATGTATAAAGGGTCATAAAGAGACACATAAAAGCAAATAATACACTAAAGAAGTTATTACCTGATGGAGTGATACAGACTGTGATGTTGGTGACAACGGATCTCTTTCCAGCTCACTTAATTTTAACATTGCATTGACAATCTCACCTGCAAACTAAAGGTTCATAATTATTCCTCACTGCTAAATATGGATGTGTTAATAGAAATACGAACCATGATAGAGTTTTAAATGTAATTTATTTACACGCAGAAATACCTTGTCAACTTTATTTGTCACAGCTGAAACAATATCCTAAAAAAGAAGATAAAAGATTTGTGGATACAACAACTACATCTTGAACACTGTTTTTCTTGATTGAAAAAGAAATTCAAAAAATTAATAAAGTTTGTTGTTCTCAGGCCTAGCTCTCATAATAATATAATGATAAGTAGTAGTCACAGCTAGATACCAAATAAGATGTACTAACTCAGCGATAATCCTGGCACCTTGTTTCATACTTTTGTCATTCTCTTTCACACGAGTTGATATGATCCATTAAACTGAAGTCATGGAACAGATGGACTCCTAGGGTACTAACCATTTACAATGGAAAAACCAGAAAATCCTGTTAGAATATTAAATGGTTCATGCCATTTGGTTTGGGAAGCTTCCGAAAATAATGGCTGTGATTTGAGGTGTTGCAATTTTCCTACTCTTTTTAGTCTGTTAAGCTGATTTGGATATACTCTTTTGCAAGTTGTTCTCCAACCACATCAAATTTTCTAGCTTTATATTTATGTACAAGATTTCCACAAGAGTGGTTTGTGTAAATGTTAAGCACCCCTGCTTATGATGAGAGAATGAGAAACAATGGACTAAAAAACCGACAAAAATCTAAGCAACAAGAATCCCTGTTCATTGTAAGCCAGAAGAAGAGCAAGCATTCCTCCACAATATTACTCTTTGTTCATGCTGGAAAAACAATAATCCATTGCCAAAAAAAAAAAACAAAGAGAAGAGAAAAATCCAGGAACAAAAAAAACCAATGCTAATGCACAAGTGCTCATTTCCAGATATTTGCAAATATAATGAGATGATGTCACAGATAAATTAACCCTCATACTAATTTCAGTCCACTCAACTGGCACTCACACCTGTATCACCACCACTGCTACACTAACCTTTGGCACAATAGCTACACTCAACGAACTGAAGACATAACACTGGAAAACGGAATTTAGTTTACTGAAGCAAAAGCAGCTGGAAAAATATCTGCTGGGCATCCCTTACAAAATCCATGGGGCAGATGCTGCTGGCAGCCAACGTCATTGTGCTGAGCATGATGAATTCACAACTCACACAATCTGCACTAAGAATGAACCTTGCAGTTAATGTAGCAAGCATTGCCATAACAAGAATATCCCAACAAGTGTCAGGAACAACAATGCCCTGCCTGTGGTGAGATACATGTAAGTGAACACTGTGGTCAAGCAAATCACTTAAAGACTGAATGCTGTAGCCAGGGCAAGCCAAAAAAACAGCATCATGACCCTGCAGGTAGTAACACTAGTGAAGCACAGGGGCTGTCTTTGATGTTCTCTGTACAACAAGAATTCCCAACAAAACTCACCAAAAACATGCTATGGTGGTTGATCCCTACCTGTACAACCCTTTTATGATTGCTGGGTTTGACAGGCCTCAAAGCCTCTCACCACAGTTCACCCGGTCAACTTCCTAGCCCCAGGATTTCAAACTGCTTTGACAGATTCCAGCTGCCAAAACTGCCCCCAAGAATGAAAAAAAAATCCCTTTGGCCTATGTGAGGCCAAACTGATTCCAGTGACAATGCACATTCATGCTGCTAACAAAAATAACATCAAGATGATGGGCACCATCATCTTGTGATTCTATGACAGCTCGATCCACATGCAGACAAAATCTCAAGCGGATTGTCCATGTTACGGGTGATGCTGACAAGCTATCCTTGAGCCAGGAGAGTTGCGCAGCCCTGTGCAGGATCTCTTTGCATTTCCTAACTATGGATGAACCCCTGCACTTAACACCAGCAACAAAACCGGACAAGGTATCTGGAGCAACAGGGAAACTAACCCATGCACTGCATCATATCCACCTGAGAGTGCATTGAGCTTGCCTTGTAACTGTCCACATCACCAGTTGCCACTACCCAGACCAACTCAACTACCATTCCCAGCAATCAAGGATAACTTGCAGTGCCTAAAACAATGCCTCCTGAATTACTACAAGTCCAACGTACTTGACGCATGTGAACTGCAACTCCTCCTCTGACAAAGGCCATCCCTATAAGTGTTATTGTTGTTCTCACAGTGACAATTTATTATTGCTTACTACATCATGTTCCACTTCCACTTCACAAGCAGGCAGATGTAAAAGCTGGCCTTGACCAAGATGTAGCATTGGATGTCCTTGAGCCAGTACCAATGAAGTGAAGTCATCAAACAGTCATAGGATGATCACCACCTTGACACCTTCATCACTCCATGGGGGAGGTACTGCTAACAACATCACAGACCTACCCACTTGGTTCTGAATCATCATCCAGTTTTCTATGATGCCTCCAGTGCTACAGAACACAGGCTACCTCAATCCAGGCACACCATTTCGTTGAGTAAAGAGCTCAAAAGACTTTTTGAAGAATCTATATCCATTATCGTCAGTGAGATTAAAGAGGGTGTCTGAATCTTTGATACATCAAAACCAACTTGCCTGGCCATCAACTTGCAAAGGATGGTATGGTATCAGGTCCTGTCTCAGAAACACTATAAATATCCATTCACAGAACCCTTTACTGCTGCACAAGATGGAAAGTAACACTTGTTGGCAGCCACTTCACTCATGCTGCTGATTCATCTATGCACCAGTCCAGGGAAAGATCCTAGAGGTAGTTGGTGCCCTCAACAAAACCAAATTCCTTGTCTTGGGTTGTAGCATCCTGATTATTACTGTGGACCACAAGCCCTTACAGAAAGTGTTTGATGATCGATTTCTTAATGAACTCTCCAATGCCTGCCTACCCAACCACAAAGAGAAGACAGTATGCTACCAATTTCACAAGGCACATTTTCCTGTTGTACTACATGAGGCTGCCAGTGCTTTCTCCTGCCATCCTACTGGCCCAAAATGATGTTTCTACCAGATGACATAACAGCCTCAGCTACTTTGGCTGCTCTGCTCCCCTCGACCTCTCTGCCCACTCATTTATGGCTTGCATGAGCTTAGCCTAATTCCAAGCAGCGTCAATCCTTAATTAGCACCAGTGATGAACGCCTGGCTTCATCAGCTTCCTCAGCGCTAAGTACTATGGCAATAATGTGGGACAGCGTCCAACAAGCAACAACCAGGGACAAAGAGATGGCCCAGCTGGTCTCCATCATTGACTCTGGCTTTTTTCAATTTTGCCAAGATCTCCAACCTTCCCTCCAGGAGTGCTATCAGTTCTGGAAACATCTGTGCATTGCCAATGGTCTCATCCTCTGCAAGGACCATATAGGTATAACAACTTCACTCAGAACACATATCTATATACCCCACTCAATACATCAAGGAAACTACTGTATTCTGGCCATGCATCACTCCAGCTATCACGGACCTGGTGGCAAATTGTACCCACTGCAATCACATGGCACTGTCATAACCTAGTGCTACACTAGTGCATACTTTCAGTACATATTTGCTGATTTCTTCCAGTGAACTACCTTACTGTTGTGGGCTGCAACTTAAACTCACACATCATTGAATGGGCAGAAGGGGGCTTTAAGGGCTGATTGACTGAATGATGTTTGATGCACATTTGTGATGTTTTGTATCCCTAATGAAAGTGCGATTGACATCAACAACTTTAATCTGGGCACTCCCACACTCAAACAGAGAGGAAGAAGTGAAAACTGTTAAACTGCTCATCATCAACAACAGACCCCAATGGCAGCCTAAACACTGACCCACAACAGCCTAGATACTGACTACATGCCATCCTCCAGTATCCCAGCACTACTGAGCCAAACACCCAGCTATCCTCCACTCAGTGCACATTTGGCAGACTAATCAAAGACTTCAGGAAATAAACCCAAGCGCACACACAGCCACCCAGATGCACCACTGATAACAGTCACCAACACATCAACATGTTACCACTAAAGCCTGAGCCCACTTCACCCAATTGCCAGAATCATCCTCTATGCCAACCCCACAAGAATCTGTTCAGCCTCTTATGGCTCCTTTGCCAAGACCACCAGTAGGAGCTGGCTCATTGGACCAGACCTCACTTCCAACTCCAGCCCTAAAAGATTTGCACCCAACAACCTCCCATCCCAACCATGAAGCCACCACCAACCAAATGGTCCAGCCCCTGGCTTCTGCTGATCCTCTACTTGCAAGCCCAACTGCACCTCCTGCTGAGACCCTAGCCACTAGAGAAACCTCTCTTAGCCTTGTGGTGACTAGTGGACTACAACAAGAAAGGCCTCAAGGAAAACTGAACACTAAACACTTTCAGACAATATTAGGCCGGAAATATTTCTATTTTGTGATGTCAGGTGATGTTGAAGTAACCAGTGAGAGTGTGCACACACTTGGATAAAATTCTAGGATCTAACGATAGTAATAATAATTACATTTAAGACACTCAGTAAAAAATTAACATCTTTCACTCTTCCTGCAAGATTTTAAGTGCTTTAAGGTACTTATTAACAAACACATTGCGTGTGAATCCTTATTTTTCCCACCTTACCATGTCAATAAAGTGCTGATGAAACCTGGGGAAATTCACTTTCCACAAGATCCCTTCATCTTTAATTTCCTGAAATAATATTAATACAAACACTATTTGAGACAAAAAGGGAAAACTTGCCATATACAGTCCTCCACAGCACTTTGAACACAAAAAGGATTTGAAAAATTTTTTAACTTTCTTAATACTTACAGAAGCTCCTTTACTGCAAGACAGACTAGAAATAAAAAAATATGTGTTGGACTCATCAACAGATATTTACAAGCAAAATATGACGACACTTTACTTGACATGGGTGGTTGATAACCGACCTTGCCTCTGTTTTCTGCTTCTTAGTTGGTTGGCCGCCATCTTCAATAGTCCTTTTCCGTTTTGCCCCAGGTCCTAAAAAGTATATTAAATCTATTAACCCTTGAACAACATAAATTTTCTCCTAATGATATCTATACATTGTTTGAAGATTGGGTTATGAGAACTAACAAAATGATCACCACAGAGAAAATGCCTTGATCTTTTATCAAATTCTCTCAACTCACTCTTTGAGACAATGTATAGAGATCAGTTTGGAGAATTTGTACATGTATATTGGGGCTTTAAGTTCACTATAAAGATTGTGTGTACTGTGGGTAATCTTGCCATGTCTGTTTTACATCAAATTTGTACCTGTTCCAGCACAAAGGGCATTTATCTATATCAAAGCGGTCATCCTCAGGAATTAGCCAGGTGACCGCTCAATCAGCGACAAAATCAGTTGAGACACTTCACCCTAAAAGGGGTTGTCTGACATTTCACTGACTTCAAAAGGAGAACATAAAGCTTTTCCTCCCCCATCCCATCCACAAAATGTTGTGCCTCTGTTCAAGCTACCTACAGAAAACAACAAACATTCCAACTTTGAATGGAGGGGAGGGGGGAGGGGGGAGGGGGAAGGGGTGTGGATTCTTTTGCTCTCTGAAGTTACCCTATTTTAGGACAATTTTGTCTCCTGATTGGCTTAATAGAGGTTGACTGCTTAATAGAGGTTTTCTAAAATTAAGCCCGTAATGTGGCAGAAATTGACATAGAGGACAAAATTTATCACAATACAATACTAATAATGAAGGGCTTGGTATAACCGAATGTTAAGTGACATTTTGGGTGTTTCTTTTTTTTCTTCCAAATCAGCTGAATTTTTGCATGTGGCCTCCGATTCATTAGAAAAACATTGCTCTGCATTTTTTTCCGCCAGATTATCCTTCTTTTGCAAGAAAAAACGTATGCAAAAAAAACCTGTCGGCAACCTTTGCATTTCTTTGTTAGAATCGCAAACAAAAGATATTGTTCACAACAATAGTAACGGGAAATATGATAAAAGTACTTGGAAGTTCTGGGGTGTTTATGCCTAAAAATAAATTTTACAGTAATGTAATTCGTCATTCACTGTCTTTTCGATCAAACACATCATCTGCGTTTATTTTAAAACCTCATTCAACATGAAGAGAGAGATGTGTATTTAATTTACGTAGATTACAATGTTACCTATGCTGCGTTTGATGAACTGTGAAAGAAACTGGAAATGCTTCACTTATCTTCATGTTAAAAAATATGCCATTTTTTATTAACTGCTATGTAACAAGGTAACCGTCTAACAGAGGCAAATTACAATGAAATTAGCCATTTGGGAAACCCAAATGGTGACCACATCTGCTTAATAGAGGTGACTGTTGAATAGAGGTCAAATTTACAGTAAATATGGGAAGCAGATTTGGGAAATTGAAAGGTGACCTCTTAACAGAGGTTTGACTGTACTACACTCATAGAGAGTATTATTGGTACTTTCAACACTTTTTAGTTCTTATGGCAACATTTTTACAAACAATCCATTAATTTTATTTTCTGAACTGAAGCCTCTTTTTCATATCAGGGGTCAGTAGAACAAGGGTTAAGGATTTGCACATAGTAACAGCTGATAGAATGGTTTGGAAAGAAGTACTGCAGAGAATGTAAGTAGAGACTCAAGGCTGCTAATGACGATGCTTCTGTTGTTCCCTTGTTAACAGTCCAGAACAAGAATTTCTGCACTGATTTACAGCATATTCAGCATAGATACTTTGTAGGAAACCAAACAGCACCAAACGTCAAATGACTCTGAAGACTAGAAATAGCATTAGGAAACTGAGTGAATTAAGTTCCAGTTAAGTTTTCCCTGTATAATGATCCTAACTGAAACTTGACATGTATACTCAGTTTTCTTAACCTAATCACTAAACTTCAGTTTCACTGGATGCCATTTCGCATTCGTAAAAATCCCCCAACCATAACATTAGCCTTAAATTATACCTGCAACACAGGCTACAATGATTATGCATCCCAGGAGGTACACTTGGGTATTTTTTGGGTGGGTATGTGCCGCCCGGGACTCCAAATCGGCACGCCATTCTAAAAAGTTTCCCCTAAAACTGATACCCCGTTCTAGAAATGGGCCAATTTTTTATACTCCGTTCTAGGGTGCAACAAGAGTGTAACAGTTTGCTTGTTAATGCAGTGAACTGTATTTCTAAAAGCAATCTGTCCTTGAATAATTTCAAATGGCTGCTTACAAAACTGGAACTTTCATACGTTCGAAATATTATACCCCATTCTAGAAAATGCCTCTGAAATGGATACCCCGTTATAAACCAGGAGCTTCAAAATCACGACCCCGGTGGGCGGCACATACCCGTATAGGTAATGTATGGGAGTACCCCCCCCCCCGGGTTATGCATCTATACATCACCTTGAAAGTTCACTCCAGGGGGAAGGGTATACAAATCAGTTTCACAGTAGCTATTTGTGTCAATGATGTCTTCATGAGGTGATTGCACTCTTTGCAGAAAATGTTTCTTTACAAGATCAGCAAATGTTGCATTGACTTCATATTCATCTACGTCTAGGTTATCTTCCACCAAATGGTTCCAAACTTTGGAGACAACTTTGCTCATGGCTACTGTTCCATGTTGTAAAACTTCATCAACAATCAACTCTCCTGTGTATCCAAACAAAGACTTTGCACAATAGATAAACCGAGGAGCCCGAGCACGAAGAAGTGTATTTGATATCCATGCATTATACAAGGTAACGTTCTTTTTGTTGACTTCAAACGTGACAAAATGATGCTGTATAAGGCAACACAAAGACTTTTGAACTTGGTCACGAGATAACTTAGTGTCATGAATAATATCTCTCAAAGGACGAGGACCTTTTGCAAAAAGATAGGTCCCGACCTTTTCTACGATTTCTCCGTAGTGTTCTTTTAAAATAAAAGCGGCTACTCGCTTTTGCTGGACTGACATAGCACCTTGCTTTGCCTTTCCCACAGCTATCTCCTCAAAGTCGCCGCCGTAGTGCCCGCCATTTCGCTCCTGCAATTAATTTGACCAGCGAAAACCTACATCGCTAAGTTCTGATTGGCAGGTTGGCAGACGATTGGTAGACTTTGGAGGCAAGCAGCCAATCAAATACTCGGAAGAATTCACCTTTTCCTTGAGTTTATAGCAGAGTTGTAAACAACTTGTTTAGCTTTGTTTATAAACTGGCAAAATCACAAAAAGGGAAGAAGAGAGCTCGCAAGCCCTTTAAGATCGAACATATATTTTCCATCTCTCTTACTTAATAAGGCTGGAGGCTGTAGGTAATCGAAAGTGATTTTAATGACACGTTAGTATTTATTTTAAGCTTATTACAAGTAAGATATTTTTACAGCTGTTCACCTGTGGTTCCTTTGATATAACCAAGAAAACTTTCTTACGGAGGGCATGGTGTTTCCAAGACTTCTGCGCTAACGAAATGACGTTTGGAAAACGTGAAAAAATCTGGAAGCACATGTTAATTAGAGAATGGCCAAACGGAGAAACCGCTCCCTCCAATATTGATGTTGATAACTAATTGATTATTTTCTAAATAACGTAGTGTAGTCGGTGTAATGAAGCTCGTGATAGCTGATTTCCTTGTGACATATCTATTTCACAGGGAAGTTGAGTAGGGCGCTTTATGTATTAGTAAAGGGGGGCACTTGCATATTGGATGCTGGCATACCGGCTGCCATTGTCTATTTGAACTGTTTTCTAGTCACTGACAGTAGGCAAGACTGAAATGGAAAACGTTTCATGCTACTGTGACAAGTTTCAAATAATTTCATAGGATAGGTAACAATAATATTGTAAAGAAAAATGTCCCTTAGTGGCTGGGTTTCCAGAGAGGCTGTTCAGACAATGAACTGCACAGTTTTATGTACTTGAATTTTTTTTTAGAAACACCAATCAAGTAACAGTCAGATTTCAAGGATTATTTCCCCTGGATGTCCACAAGAACTGCCACAATTAGATGCCCCGGGTGTGGTCAGGAGATCATGCGAGGTGCGGCATTAGAGTGTACCTTTAAACCCAGTGTCCAGGCCTCAACATATCGAACTTTTGATTCACCTCAAGAAAGGGACTGGCTCTGCATGGAATGCAAATACATTGTTGAAAATCACTATGGGGATCTCTCTTCTGTGACATCAGAGGATGCTTATACATTACTGTATAGTGTCAGGATCAAAAAGGGATCCAGTTGTTCATGCTGCAGTTCTTGTATAATAACATAGCTTAATAACCTATTTTATGGAATCAAAAAAGTACTTTTCCAATGATGGAGCAAAGATAGCCTTTATGTGTGAACATTCAATACAGTTTTATTTTTCATTTGTAGGAAAAGCCTATTCAAAAACCATTACAGTCAAACCTCATTCAAAAGGAGCCATTGACTATATCTCTATTGGATGGGGTGTTTGTATTAACCAAGTCAAATAACTTAAAATTAAAAGTAAACATTTAACTCGAACAATATTTCAAATAATACAAAAAAGAACATTAGATTTCCCTTTTTCTGTGGAGTATGCCAGGCTGAATCTATGAGAAGGCAAAAAAGTTGCCCACATGTAACTTACTTTTAAATATGTGTTATTGACTAAATGGATGGGTATTGGCCAAGTTTTTTTTTCTGCATTTTATAGACCGAGACAAAGTTGAGGTTCATAAAATGCCAAAAAAAAGAATAAGGCCAATATATTGACCACATGCCCACACAAGCTTGCTTTCAATAAAGCGTTACTATGTGGCCAAAAAGGTGGGAACTTTTCCCTGTGGGACCAATGCAGGAGATTCCAGGCAGCAAGATATAAAGCTCACTTGCCAGCTTAGGTTAAGCCAATCAGAACATGGGATTGCTTTGCAGATTCCGCCATGCAATAAGTTATTTATTACATAATAGAACTTGAGGGAGCTCTTGAGAGACCTCTTTTGTCGCCAAAATAGTATTAATTTAAATTTGTTGACATCTAGACTTATTACCTTTGTGAACATCAATATAATTTATTATGAGTGTCATCTCAAGGTTTTTCTCCACAAGAAGCAAACCTTTTTGTAGAACACAGTTGATAAATAGTATTTGTATAAGTGAGGTTAACATTCTGCAAAATCTTTTGATTAGGCATCAAGTGATGTGCGCATAAACTTACATCCATATTACTGTCAAAGTCAGGAAACCGTGAAGACCTAAAATATTTCAGGAATGTTTGGTATGTTGTGACTTTTTAATATCACACCATAGATCAAGACATTCAAGCAAGCTACAAAACCACAAATTAATTGCAGTTGTTGCTTGCGCTTTAGCTTGAGCTGTAGCTTTCTCACACGTGTTGACTTTTTTTCACAATAACATTTCACAGACATTATTTCTGGTGTACACTGTTTTCTAACTTTCACAGTAAGGGCACAGTATGCTGGTGTCTGTGATGTAAACGGGAGTTGATTTCATGGCCAACAGATAAGTGTCGACTGCTTGAGTATCTCTAGACTTGGCCGGTTTCGAGCTATCAGTATTCTAAGAGACTTGCACGCACTCAAGTCCTGATTACATTCATATTCATCCTACACAAAATCCTATCAGTTTAAAGGGTGTAGCTTGTAGCGTTTACATTATTCCGATCGGAAGGCACATCTAACTATCTACTTTACACGATGCACATTTTTGCACGCTTGCTTACACAATAGGGATCATATTTCCGGTTCCTATCAAGCTAGTAATTGATCTATTGTTCACTTAAGATTAACAAGTCACGATTCATTGTACAAAGTGTCACGAATTCTTTAACTTTACTACACTATCCCCCCCTTAGAAAAGGGCATGTCCCCATGCCATGCAACAAAGGAAAGGAAAACTACTGGATTCTTAAGCAAAATAGAAATCACTGGGTGTACAGCCACTATAAAAAAAAATATCAACTCTGATTGCAGCTACATTAAGAAAATTAATCAAAGTCCAATCAAAAATTAAGAAACAAAGTCTCTCATCCAAGCAGGAGCATGAACTTCTCTTCTTGGTCTGTCTGCAACAGGGGGAGGCACTACTTCAGCTACTGGTTCTGGAGCTGGCACTTCTGCCTCTGTGGAGTCCTCTTCCTCAGCTCTTGCTAATGTCTCGTTCCCGTCAGCTGCAGCACCGTCTGCGTACATGAGATCAGTCTCATCCGGAACATAGCGAGGGGGAAGATGAGGTCTCCGCACCGGCAAACTGGAAGGCTGGCCAGTAGGCTGATCAGGTTGCTGGGCCCTCTGTCGTGGCTCGCCACACGGCTTTAATCGATTGAAGTGCAGTACTCGCCGTTTTCCGGGGTTGTCCACTTCTTCTATCCGGTAGGTCACATCGCTGATCTTCTTTACTACCACATGTGGACCATGCCATGGCGAATGCAACTTCTTTGTCTGTCCTGACTTGATTACAGGAAGATGAAGGTACACATGATCTCCAACCTTTATCTCGTCTCCAGCGAGGCGGCGATCATAGTAGTCCTTCTGTCTTCTCTGGGCAGTCTTCAGGTGTTCTCTAGCTCTCTCATGGGCTTCTTCCAGGGTGGATCGGAGGTTCCTTGCATACTCAGACGCTGCTTCCGGCTGATGAGGTTCACGACCATACATAACGTCTAAGGGCAACCGTACCTAATGTCCAAACAACAGGTAGTGGGGTGTGTACTGGGTAGAGGAATGAACGCTGGACCGGTATGCCATCATAACCATGGGTAGGTGAACATCCCAGTCACGCTGGTGCTTGGCAACGTATTTTGCCAGCATGTCCTGTATTGTACGGTTCATGCGCTCAACCATGCCATCACTCTGTGGGTGGTATGGCGTTGTTCTTGTTTTCTCGATACTGAAGAGGTTACACATTTCCTTAAACAGCTGGGCTTCGAAGTTCCGGCCCTGGTCAGTGTGGATACGCTCGAGTGCCCTGAACCTGGAAATAACCTCGTTCACCAGCTTTTCTGCGACTGTCTTTGCCTCTTGATTCGGGATTGGGAATGCCTCGGTCCACTTTGTGAAGTAGTCTCCAACAACCAGGATGTACTTCTGACCAGATTCTGTAGTTGGTAGGGGACCCATGATGTCCAAAGCAATCCTCTCAAACGGGTAACCTGGACAGCTGCTGACAAGGGGTGCTCTTCCTGGCTGCGGTGGGGACTTCCTCCTGGAACACTTTTCGCACTGTTGGCACCAATCTTAGATGTCACGCTGCTGACCATACCAGTAGAAGCGTTCTCTCACTCGCTCCAAGGTCTTATTTACCCCGAGGTGGCCAGCTGAGGGTGCATCGTGAAGGGCGGAAAGGACTTCGGATACCATGGACCTGGGAAGTACTAACTGCAGCCGCGTACCATGACCATCATCTGTTTCCCACCGGCGGTAAAGGACACCATTCTCCAACTGCAACCTGTTCCATTGTGCCCACAAGCTCCTGGTTGCCTTACTGGTTCCCTCTATCTCCCGGAAAGCCGGTTGGCTGGTCTGGTTCCGCTTCCAAGCTAATATCTTCTTCAAGTCAGGATCCGCCGCTTGACTGGATCGCAGGTTGGTCACTGTCCAACTGGGTACCCAGGTACTGGTGCTGCTGCCTACTGCATTGGTCTGGGTTATCTGGTCAGTGTCCTCGGCAACCACCAGGGGGTTTCTCGAAAGCGCGTCAGCATTCTGGTGTTTTCGTCCTGGTCGGTGTTCAATCTTGTAATCGTACTGGGCCAACAACTCGAGCCACCTGGCCACCTGTCCCTCAGGTTCCTTAAAGCTCTGAAGCCACTTCAGTGCGTTGTGGTCTGTTCTGACAGTAAACGGTGTTCCATACAGGTAATGGCGGAAGTGTCTGATTGCATAAACCATTGCAAGCATCTCTTTCTTGGTAGTGCTGTATCGGCGCTCACGATTGTCCAGCACACGACTTGCATACGCGATCACTCTCTGACTCCCGTCCTGCTCTTGGGAAAT